CAGGATTACAAACTTGAATCAGGTTGGACTACATAGCAAGGCTCTAAAGAGGAAGATTCACTTACTCAGGGTGAAGTCTGGACCTGCCTAGAGCAGCAGAATCTCAGGTGTCCCCCAGGGACTCATCACCCACTTCCCCTCTCTGCCTTCCAGAGCCAGCGTGTTCCCCTCCACCTGACCCCTGCTCACCAGGGCAGTCGTGCTTCACTCACCTTACACCTGCCAGCCTACGACTGAGCTGCCCAGGAGGCATGAGCACTTCCAAGCTCTATACCTTAGTGCTGGTGCTGCAGCCCCAGCGGGTCCTCCTGGGCATGAAGAAGCGGGGCTTCGGCATGGGCCGCTGGAATGGCTTTGGGGGGGAAGTGGAAGAAGGAGAGACCATCGAGGATGGGGCCAGAAGGTGAGGAAAGGGGGCTCTGCACACACAGCCTGCCGGGGATGAGGGGATGAGGGTTCCATCTAGATTCAGAGCCATACACCCTGGGAACTGTGGCCCAGAGCAGGGATCTATCCCTTGAGCTCTGCATCTTCACCTGAGTGGGACAGTGGCAAAGACTAAATGAGAAAGTGCTGGCCAAGGACTGTGGTCTGCCTGACTCTATCAGTGGGAAACCTTTGGGACACTATTGGAGTCATCGGGGCATCTTCATGTCTTACAGGGCTTACCAGTCACTAGTCTTTTTAATTTTCAGGGTAGCTGATGGTTCCACACATACATACCCCTTTATCTTAACCTTTTGTCCACACAGCTCTACTTGGTCCAACTACAGCTTCTCTTGGGAAGGAACGAAGGCCCAGAGAGGTTGAGTTGATTTCCCACCTCACACAGTCCTCCAGGTGGCCTCTGCCCTCACTCCTCCCAGGAGGATAAATGAGGTCATTAATGCAAGTGGTGCTCAACCCTGCACAGACAACCAGGGAGGGAGTTGTGGTGGTGGTAGTTGTGGTAGTTGTTTTGAGACGGGATCTCAAATTCACAATCCCCTTACCTCAGCTTTCCCAATGGCATGCACTAACATGCATGCCGGTTGTTCTGATTCTGATGAAAGCTGGTGACACCCATAGGTTGCCTTCTTCCCTAGAGAGAATGAAAACCCGTCCGGGGTTAAGAGACTCTGACCGGGAGAGAAGCTGCGATGCTGCAGCCCAGTGGCTCTTTTTTGGTGGTGGTCTTGTGTTTTGACATCACAGCAGATACTGCATCAGCAGAGCCACATCGCCACTTCAATATTTTAGCCCTCAATTTAAAAAAAAATTACTTATTGTGGGCTGGGAAGGTGGCTCAGTGTTAAGAGTGCTTGCCTTGATGTAGAAAGCCCTGGGTTTGATTCCTCAGCACCACATAAGCAGAAAAAGCTGCAAGTGGCTCTGTGACTCAAGTGATAGAGTGCTAGCCTTGAGCTGAAGTGCTCAGGGACAGTGTCCAGGCCCAGAGTTCAAGCCCCACAACTGAGAAAAAAAAAAAACCTATTGTGCAATACAGCATACATACCCAGCTAAAATCCTGATACCCTTACTAGTGGAGGTTTGAATTCAAGGTTCAACACAACTAGGCAAGCACTCTAGCACCTGATCCACATCTCCAGCCATTTTTTGCTTTATTTTTCTGATGGGGTACCTCAGGCTGGCATTAGACTGGGATCCTACTTCTATGCCTCCCATGCTGCTGTGATTACAGGCATGAGCCAACACAGAGGTCTCAGTACCTATTTGTCCTTGCTGGCTGGGCTCCTTGAACCACAATTGCCCCATTTCTACCTACCAAGTACCTAGGATTATATGTAGGAGCCATTCCTAGGCCTGGGATCCCAGCATACAAGCTGAACAGGTTTCTAAATCACTATACCAAAGTCCCACAAGGGGGAGCTGAGCAATACATCCTTTTCCCAGGTAGGAGTGGCTATCCCATGTCTCTGGGTTTAGCACTGCCCTAAGGGAGGGCCAAGTTGAGTGTCTTCTTTCTGATGTGGGCACCTGGATACTGGCTGGGTTGCGCGGTGGGGTGGGGGGGATTATTGGGTTTTGAACTCAGGCCACTGTCCATGAGTTCTTTTAGTCAAGTCTGATGCTCTACCACTTAAGCCACAACTCCACTTCCTGCTTTTCAGTGGAGGTAAGAGTCTGATTGATTTTCTCCAAGGCTGGCTTCCAACATCTGTCCTCAGATCTCAGCCTCCTCAGTAGCTAGGATTTGGGGTATAAGCCAAATGTACATAGCAAAGGATAAGAGAGAGAGAGAGAGAGAGTGTGTGTGTGTGTGTGTGTGTGTGTGTGTTACTGGCAGTTCAGTTGCTTTGGAACCTTCGATTCCCAGTCCTTTAAGGTATAGGGTGTGGCCCTTTAGGATGATATAAGGTGTAGTGTTTTTGTTTTACTTTATTATTATAAAAGTGATGTACAGAAGGGTTCCATTTATGTAAGTCATATATCAAGTACATTTCTTTTTAGACAGTTTCACCCCTTTTGTTCTCTCCCAGTTTATCCCTTCCTTCCCCACTCACAAGTTGTATAGTTCATTTTCTACATAGTTCAGATATAGTTTTTGTCCAGGCTAACCTCAAACTATGATCCTCCAGCTTCTCCCCGCTGAGTAGCTAGGAGTGTGGGTCACCAGCTTCTGAATTCTTTAAAGTTCAACCTCATTCCCAAGATGGGCCTGGTCAGGACCTACCAAACCCTTACCCGATGCCCTCCTGGGGTGAACAGCCATGTCCTGCTATCAGGTTCCCATGGGTGGGTACATGCATCCCGTGCCTCCTCCAATATCTGTCTCCCCACAGGGGGAGACAGTGGTCTGACAGCAGAGATGCTGCACAAAGTGGGGAAAATTGTGTTTGAGTTCGTGGGGGCCCCCGGGCAAATGGAAGTGCATATCTTCTATACAGAGAGCGTACAGGGGACACCTGTGGAGAGTGATGGTGAGTCTTCAGGGTCCCTACCACCCATTCTTGCTTCCTTGGGGAGGACACAGGTGTAGGCCTTGGGCCCTCTTCCTTCTCCAGTGAGCTCAGAGGCTCTGTGGGCCATCTACAGCAGGTGCAACAGCATAGCCCACAGCCCCAGTGCATTTCCTGCTCTACAGAGTGAGGGTCACTTACATGGTTAGATGGAGCCCCTACCACAGAGCTCCCCTGTAATTCCTGTCAGCCTGGGTCGGGGTGACCACCACAGCTCTTCCCTGTCACCCTTTGGTTCAGAAATGCGACCTCAGTGGTTCGCCCAGGACCAAATCCCCTTCCGTGGCATGTGGCCCGATGACAGCTACTGGTTCCCGCTCCTGTTCCAGAGGAAGAAGTTCCGCGGCTACTTCAAGTTCCAGGACCAGGACACTATCCTGGACTATTCGCTACATGAGGTGGACCAAGTTTAGCGCTGAGCCTACTGGTGGCCAGGAGAGGGCGCCTTGGCAGCAGCTCTCCTGTCCACGTGCTCACAAGGCCAGCCTCATGAGGTGTCAGAGGTGACTGGATGCAAGGGAGGGCCTTCAGCAGTGTGGCTTGTCCTGTCCCCAGGGAGCTGCCTGTCGTGCCGCTGTCACACAGAACACTGGACACAGGTGGGAGGGACTGGGTAAAGGAGGGCCTGCCATATGACCTACTGTCCTTTTATTGCCACTCCCCACTTTGTGATTCCTACCCTTTCCCAGTGGGGAAACAGACAAACAAGAGTCAAAAGCCATGGGGCTGGGAAGGTGGCTCAGTGGTAGAGCGCTTGGCTCGCATGTATGAGACCCTGGGTTCGATTCCTCAGTACCACATAAGAAGAAAAAGCCAGAAGTGGTGCTGTGGCTCCAGTGGTATAGCACTAGCCTTGAGCTGAAGAGCTGAGGGACAGCGCCCAGGCCCAGAGTTCAGCCCCATGACCGACCAAAAAAAAAAAAAAAAAAAACACAGTCAAAGGCCAATCCTGGCATGTAGCAGGCTTCTCCTCAGAATACCATGGCCATTCTCTTCCAAATGGGAACCACCAAGAAGCAGAGAAAGAACTGAGAGTTGTGTCCACTATGAACTTCACCAAGGATTTTTGGGTAAACAGCAGAGTAAAAACGGTTTGTAAACACTTCCAGTTTATTGGGTATAGTAGTAACTGATTTCTGCAGCCCATAAAGTGCTTCATACATAGAGCTGGCTTCCACAAAGCCTGGGAAAGGCCTCCTGTTTTTCCCACAGCGGTTTCCTGGAGCTGCCTTCTCCCCAGGGCTGGAGGGAGCGGAGCAGGCCGGCACTCCCCCGGCTCTCAGGACCAGCCAGGGCTTCAGCTGAACCCTCACTCAGACACCTTGCCCTGGACAGGATTCTTGTGAAATTCCCACTCTAGTGTCCGGCCAGAGCATGGCAGCAGGAGAGCCAAGAAGGGTGAAGGGACTTCAGTCACTCCACCTGGAGCAAGCCTGGGCCAGGAGTGACTGTGGGCTCTGCTGCCCTAAATTCCTTAGGCCTTCCTCTAGAGTGCCTGGGGATGGCAGGGTGGCCTGAGGCAGCCTTCCTGCCTCCTCTTCCCCCACCCTCAGCCTCTAGATCACAGAACCTGAAGGAGCATTAGGAGTGTGACCTAGCTACTCACCCTGGGTCCTGCCCACAGCTCCCCTACCTCTGTCTGGTCCCAGAGACAGGCTGGCAGACAAGTGGCCTTGACTGGGCCCCAGGCCGTCAGAGGCCTCAACACTGCTGCAGCCTTTGGCACAGGTAGGCTCAGGCCCTGCAGCTCTACTGTCACCATGTGGAAGGACAGCCCTGGGAATGGTACAGTTCCACATAGTGATCAGGAACTGTCTTCCATGAGGGAAGGTTGTCTTCAGAGGGCCAAGGAGGCC